GGGGTGTGTGAGGTGGGCATGGTATATATGTGGTGTGTGGTGTGAGGTGGTTATGTGTATGGTGTGTATGAGGTAGGTATGATATGCATGTGCTGTGTATGGGATATGTGTGTGAGGTGGGTGTAATGTGTGTGGTGTAGATATGACATGTGTGTGGTGTGTGTTGTATATGGTTAAGTGTGTGGTGTGTGTGAGATGGGCATGATATAGATGTGGTATGAGGGGAGTATATGTGTGTGGTGTGTGTGGTGTATATGAGTTAAGTGTGTGGAGTGTGTGAGGTGGGTATGACATGCGTATGGTGTGTGAGGTGGGCATGGTATGCATGCTGTGTGTGGTGTATATGGGTTAAGTGTGTGGTATGGGTGAGGTAGGCATGGTATATATGTGGTGTGTGCGGTGTGTATGTGTGTGTGTGTGGCATGTATGGGGTATGTGTGTGAGGTGCATATGATATGTGTATGGGGTATGTGTGTGAAGTGGGTATGATACATGCATGGTATATGAGATGGGTATGATATGTGTATGGTGTGTGTGAGGTGGGCATGGTGTGTGTGCTATGTGTGGTGTCTATGGGTTAAATGTGTGGTGTGTGTGAGGCAGGCATGGTATATACATGGTATGTGAGGTGTGTATGTGTGTTGTGTGTGGCATGTATAGGGTATGTGTGTGAGGTGGGTATGATATGTGTAAGGGGTATGTGTGTGAGGTGGGAATGATGTGTGTGGTGTATATGGGTTAAATGTTGGGGTGTGAGAGGTGGGCATGGTTTATGCTATGTAGTGTGTGAGGTGTGTGTATATGTGTGCTGTGTGTGGTGTGTATGGGGTATGTGTGTGGTGTGTGTGAGGTGGATATGATAGGTTCCTAGTGTGTCAGGTGGGTATGATATGTGTATGGTATGTGTGAGGTGGTTATAGTATGTGTGTGGCATATGTGCTGTAACCGTACAAATTCAATGTGCGGGGTGTGTGAGGTGGGCATGGTATATAATGTAGTGTATGGTGTGTGAGGTGGATGTATGTGTGTTGTGTATGGTGTGTATGGGGTATGGGTATGGTATCTGTGAGGTGGGCATGGTATATATGTAGTGTGTGGTGTGTAAGGGGGGTAGATATGTTTGTTGTGTGTGGTGTGTATGGGGTATGTGTGTGGTGTGTGTGAGGTGGGCATGGTATGTGTGTGGTGCGTGTACATATGTGCACACATGCATATCTGTGCACTGCAGATGACAGGCAGGCCAGCAGCCCAGGACACGCAGCAGTGACCAGCTCAGCCAAGGCAGAGCTTTGGGGGGGAGTGGCCAGGCACCTGGCAGCTCAGGATCTTGGATGCACTAAGAGCCTAGAAAGAGAGAACAAGCTGTGTCACCATCTCCACCCAAGTTCATCACTAACATGAACCTATAAGCTGCACTGAAATTGTTCCACTTCTGATTAGAACCAGAAACACTCCAGATGGGCTCAGCACAGCAAAGGGGGGACTGTCCGACAAGGCCACAGTGTAGGGGTGGGCGAATTAATCATAGAGGCAGCTACCTTTTGTTTTTTCAAATGTGAAACATTTCTGAAAGGCTTAAGCAACACGTATTTAATTTAAAAGCTCAATTCAGATGAAGAAAGAAAAAGAATACATGCTCAGCTCCAGAGACATGCAAATGAGATTGGGGGACAGAGGGAAGATGATTCATTACTTCCATCATCCCTGAATAGCAGCAGTGGGTCTGAGCATCTTATCCCCACCAAGCAGGCCAGCAGGCAAGCCAGCTGCCACCTCTTCCTGTGCAAACCACAGGCACCATCCTCAAAAGCAGGTAAATGACTATCTCATTTGTTCAGGGATGGCAAAATGGTCCAGGGTTGGTAGCCATGTTTTCTTCCCAGCAAGACCTAACTGCTGTCATCTTTCTCTGGGACCCAGCCTCCATGAATAGAGTAGAAAGGCAGCCGTGAATAGAGTAGAAAGGCAGCCAGCAGAACCCAAATTGTTTTGCCCACAGGCTCCTCCCTACAAACCACACCTCAGTGCAACACAGTTTCCAAATCCAAGACGCAGAATCCATGAACAGAAAACCACCTGCTCCAGAAGGCACTTACAGGAAGTGAACATTAAAATCACATCTTTTTACATTTTTTTTCTAACATAATCAGTATTTCTCACTGCAAATACTAAAAGATGTTTACCATTTATAACCAGAAATACTGTTTCTCATAAAATAACCATAAAATACAAATTATTCAGTGACCCATCTTTCTGGAAAAGAGTAACACTATATGAAATTGAAGTATTGCCCCTAAAACCCAGATGATGGGCCCTGAAACTCTAAATATTTGAATTTTTAACTAACTTCATATCAAGCGCCTTTAATAAAAACGATGTCAAGCAGACGCACTATTAGAACTGATTTGAAAATCAAATTTCAAACTGACACAGCTGTATCAAAAAAAAAAAAATGAAAAGAGAAAAATCGCTTCATTGCTTTTTAGAGTTCTCAAAGATTATGTTAAACCCAGTCACGGTTCTGATGTCCAGGAAAGCAACTGCTGTGGTACAAAAGGACGAGTGTTAAAAGAGATCAGTGAGAGCCCTCTTTCCCAACTAACCCAGGCAGTGTGAGTGCAGGCTTTCAGCACAGCCCAGGGTTCCCGGAATCGAAAATTCCATCAACCCTTCCATGGGTGGGAAAGGCTGGGATCTTCATTCCTATGACACAAGACCTTGAAGGTTGCTGAAAAATGCTAGTCCCATCTGACTGGGGCAGCATTTTCATTTACTGCACACCATTAAGGTTGCTGTTTTATTTTGTTTTATTTTGTTTTGTTGAGACAGAATCTTGCTCTGTTCCCCAGGCTGGAGAGCAGTGGGGCAATCTCAGATCACTGCAAACTCTGCCTCCTACGTTCAATCAATTCTCCTGCCTCAGCCTCCTGAGTAGCTGGGATTACAGGTCCGTGCCACCACGCCCGGCTAATTTTTGTTTTTTGTTTTTTTTTTTTAAGTAGAGATGGGGTTTCACTACGTTGGCCAGGCTGGTCTTGAACTCCTGACCTCAAGTGATCCACCTGCCTCAGCCTCCCAAAGTGCTGGGATTACAGGCATGGGCCACCACACCTGGCTACCATTAGATTTTGGCAGGAATCCTTGTGCTAGATGCCATTATCCCACCAATCACTGAGCACTTCTTATTTGCTGCCCCTGGTGCTGCTAGATACTTTAGAGCAAGCTACCGTCCCTGCCCACCCACCTGAGGACAGAAGCCTCCAACTCTGCCTTGTCAGGTAAACTGACCAGTGTGTCTGACAGATGGTGAGTCCTTCTCTCAAAAAAAATGAGACAATTCTTTCACTTACACCAAAGTAAGCAAATGCTGAAAGAGCTTATAATGAAACATCACATTCCCCAATTTGGACTTACCAACTCCGCTGACCAACCTTGTCGTTATTTCTGATTTTAATTCTACTGGTGGCTATTTTTCATCTCTCTAAATATTTTTAAAACTCTATTTCTGGGTGTCACCCTCGGATAATATTTATTGGTATCTCAGTATGAGAGGTGAGCTTGGCAGGCCACAAACTCCCAGGCTCTGGTGCAAGTAACCAGATGATCGCACTAGCTACTGCAGTCTCACAGAGGGGCTTTCCATTCTTAGCGAACCTGGGGTCAAAGAGATCCTTCCAAGAGCTCTCACCTAACTCTGGGAACACAGAAGCATCCATCAGAAGGCCGGTGGTCACAAAGCCTTCAGGATGGATACAAGCTCTTTTCTTCACTTTACAAAGCACCAGAAAGGCTGGCACTAACATGGCATGTCACTGCCACACTTGAGGGCAGGAACTGTCTCCTGCTCCAGTTTGCATCCTCTGCTTCCAGCACCGGCCGATCTGCTCCATGCAGGATGAGCAGGTAGCTTCAGGTTGTCCACCCAACCCCCACAAAAGGTGGAGGTACACAGAGTATGAGCAGCCAAGATGAAGTCCTCACAGGCTTCTTTGATTCTTTCTACTATGCGAGATATTCTCCATACCTGAAGGATGAACAGCAAAGAAAACGTCCTCTATCCATACAATGGGGACTGTAATCAGCCCTAAGAAGGAAGGAAATTCTGATGCATGCTACAACACAGATGGGGCTTGAAGATATCAAGCAAAGTGAAAGAAAGCCAGTTGCAAGAGGACAAATGACTGTACGATTCCACTCAGATGTGGCACCTAGAGTTGTCAAACTCACAGAGACAGAAAGCAGAGGCTGGGCACGGTGGCTCATGCCTGGAATCCCAGCACTTTGGGAGGTCGAGACGGGTAGATCGCCTGAGGTCAGGAGTTAGAGACTAGCCTGACCAACATGGTGAAACCCCATCTCTACTAAAAATACAAAAAATTAGCCCACTGTGGTGGCAGGCACCTGTAATCCCAGCTACTTGGGAGGCTGAGGCAGAACCACTTGCATCCAGGAGCCAGAGGTGGCGGTGAGCTGAGATCACACCGTTGCACTCCGGCCTGGGCAACAAGAGCGAGACTCCACCTCAAAAAAACGTAGACAGACAGTAGAATGGTGGCTGCCAGGGGTTGGGGGGAGACAGAAGGAAGAGCTTCACCTCCTTCCAGCATTCAGTCCACCCCACCTCTACTGTTCACACACACTCACACCCCATGGGACTCAGCCTGCAGCTTCTCCCAGCCCAGGAGCTGGACAGTGGGGAGAGGCACAGACCTCCCTTCCTAGCAAATGAGAGGGAAGACTCAGTGCCCATCACTAGTGCCATCACCCAGTCCCAGCTCAGCCATGGAGCCCACTCCAAGGGCCCCCCTGTCAGTGCTGCTAGCACCCACCAAGGGAGGGCTGTCGGCACACAGCCACAAGCTCCAGCTTTATCCACTCATGCTCTGGACACTGCCCACAGCCCCAGCAGATTCCATGTCCATGTCACCCCAGCCCTCCTGCCCAAGAGATCCTAAGTTCAGGAGACCCTCTCCAAGTCCAGGCTGCAGGGGAAGGCCGCCCCCAAGGTCACCTAGGAGTGAGTGCAGAGGGAAGGGCATCCTGGACGCTTCAGACTGGGAAACACAGATTCTATCTCCTACATAGTGGCCACACCTCCCGGGAGAGGAGAAACTCCTGCCTCATCTCAATGGAGAGACCCTGACCCAGAGACCTGAGAAAAAGCCACCTGCGGGCTCCCAGCACCTACCAAGCTGCACCTTAGGAAAACCTGTCCTGCTTCAACCTGCAAAGCTCTCACGTCTTAATTTCTAAAACCTCTGTCCTTTCTGAAAGAGGTCGGAAAATAGAAAAAAACAAAACAACAACAACAACAAAAAGAGGCACAGGAGGTTGAAGAGGCCAAAAGCAGTTTAGCTTCCCCCCCCGCAAAAAAAATGCCAAACACCTGATACGGAGTTTGGGGTGCTTGACCCTCCGCGTGCCCATTTAGGAGCTGACTGCGCTCAACCAAGATTTACGTGTGGTCCCTGCCAGGTGTTATCTAAACAGATCTGAAAAAATAAGCCTTCCTCTTTCCAGTAAATACTAAGTTAACACTGGCAGGCCACTCTAAGGCTCTGCCCTCCACTGGGGTCCCCCAGGGCAGGCCCCTAGCAGGTGTCCTCACCCTCATCCTCCCTCCACATCGGGCCAGGAAAAAAACTGGCCCAGGCCTGGGCACGCGGAGGCCCACTGCCCAGTCCGTAGAGCCCTGCTTGGGGATCGGGAGCCTCAGTGTTCTCCACCATCTGCGGCCAGACCTCCCGCCAGCAGCCTTGCCAGGCAGTGCCTGACGTGGGAAAGGGGCGTGGCCTCAGAGCAGGTCCACGCCGCGCCCGCAATCCGAAGCCTGGAGCCCAGGGTTGTTTAATTGAGAAGTTTTTCCCTCTAGGCCTTATTATAAAGGGAAAGGGAAGAGGATGAAGATCTGAGCTCGAATTCCCCGGGGGCAGCGAACCCATAGGCGACCCCAATACAGTTGCCGCCCCAGCACCAGGACTTCATGCAGGCGCCAAGCGGGGCCACGGAACGCACCAGCGGCCCGGCCAATCTGGCAGGCCCTGAGAAGGCACCCGAGCACCCCTAGACAGTGCCTCTTGCCGGCGGCCGGTGGCCCTTTGCTGCCGTACCCCCTGCCCAGGATGCGAGAGCCGACTCCTGGTCCCCACTGCACCAGCCCACCGATCGTGGGAGGGGGAAGGGGCTGCCCGAGAGAAGTGGGGCCGCCGGGCTGCACACCCAGATCCCAGCAATAGCCGCCCCGCCAGAGCGCAAGGCTCGGAGCGCTCTGGCCGCAGGTTCCGCGCCACCACCGTCTCTGGGTACGCACCCGTCTACTCCGCGGGTAGAGCCAGCAAGTCAGGCAGCCCGGACCCTCCAGCTTAACTGGACAGGGCCCGGGCTGTTTCAGTGCGCTAAGACGCCCACCGCCGCTCGCTCAGTCCGGGAAGCCCAGCTCCTGACGAACCCACGCGGAGCCACACACCGCAACTAATAACTGCCCAGCCCGGCAACCGCTAACGGGCCCCCAAGCTAAACGGCTGCCTGCGCGCCCGAAAAGCGGAGTACGGCAAGCCCGCAGGGCCGCCGCTACCCGGCGCACGCGCACTCACCTGCGGCCCCGGACCCACAGCCCCGTCCCGGCTGCTTCCCCTCACCAGAGGCGCTCATTCGCCTCTTGGATCATTGGAGCGGGAAAAGCTTCCCGGCAACAATGAGCGGTAGGAAGAGAGGGAAGATAAAGCTGCGACCGCGCCGGGTGTGCGGGAGGCCCTGCGCCCACTGGCTCCGGCGCTGGGACAGTCGGCAGAGCGGGCTGGTGCACCCGGGACCAGTCCCCGAGCTGGTCTCCGGAACCAGGGCTGGAGCCCCGACGATGGAAGGCGTGGTGCCCCGAATGCCCCTGCCTGTAATCCAGGACTTCTGGAGGCCAATCCCAGCACTGTGGGGAACCCATTAAACCGGTTAGCAAAAGGGCGGGGCGCGATAGCTCATGCCTGTAATCCCAGCACTTTGGGAGGCTGAGGCGGGCAAATCACAAGGTCAAGATACCGAGACCATCCTGGCCAACACGGTGAAAACCTGTCCTTATTAAAATACAAAAATTAGCTAGGCGTGGTGGCAGGCACCTGTAGTCCCAGCTACTCAGGAGGCTGAGGCAGGAGACCTGTTTGATCCTGGGAGGCAGAGGTTGGCAGTGAGCAGAGATTGCGCAACTGCACTCCAGCCTGGCGCCTACCGACAGACCCAGACTGTTTCTCAAAAAAAATAAAAATAAATAAAGAAGTAGGGCCGGGCGCGGTGGCTCATGCCAGGCGTGGTTGCAGGTGCCTGTAGTCCCAGCTACTGGGGAGACTGAGGCAGGAGAATTGCTTGAACCGGGAGGCTGAGGTTGCAGTAAGCAAAGATCTCGCCATTGCATTCCAGCCCAGGCGAAAGAGTGAGACTCCGTCTCAAACAAGCAAACAAAAAAACAGACAAGAGACACAAACTTTAACTGCAGACCTTATCAGTATTAAAAAAATAAATGAGGCCAGGCGTGGTGGCTCATGCCTGTAATCCCAGCACTTTGAGAGGCCTACGAGTGCAGATCGCGAGGTTCGGAGATCGAGGCCATCCTGGCCAACATAGTGAAAAACCCCGTCTCTGCTAAGAACAAAAAATTAGCTGGGTGTGGCGGTGCGCGCCTGTAGTCCCAGCTACGCAGCAGGAGGCTGAGGCAGGAGAATCGCTTGAACCTGGGAGGCAGAGGTTGCAATGAGCCGAGATTGTACCATTGCACTCCAGCTTGGTGTCAGAATGAGACCCCATCTCAAAAAAAAAAAAAAAGATAAATAAATATTAGAACAACTTTGAAATTTGAGATAAAATGAACAAATTCATTCAGCAAACACGGCTTAGCAAAATGAAGTGATATATATGTAATTGGACCTGTAATTAAAAACTTATAAACTACAGTCTCACATGGCTTAATAAGTGAATTCTTTCCAAATGCTTAAGGAAGAAATAGCACACATCTTACATGAACTATGTCAGAAATAGGAGAAGAACAATTTACAAATTGTTTAACCAGCATAGCCTTAATATTTCATATTGAAACCTAATATGATATCACCAGAAAGGAAACCTACACTCCACTTCCTTTTGTGAACATAAGTACAAAATTACCAAATGAACTATGAGCAAACCCAATTACACCACATATAAAATGGGGTTGATCATACATCACAAGCAAGTTGACTGAATTCCAGAAATGCAATGTTAGTCAACATTCAAAAGCCAATCACTGTAAGCTACCTTATCAACATAAAAATAGAAACAAATGCTCAATCCACAAAGAAAAAAGCAACTGATAAATTTCAGTACCCATTCATAAATTTGAAAACCGATCTAACAGAGAGAAAGCAACATGCCCAGTTAAACACTCCTGCAGTTGAGAATAGTGACACAACTTACTTGCCGCCGAAAGATAAAAATTGAAGTATAATCTTAAAACTTTTGAGAAATCTATGTTTTTCAGCTAAAAAGAGACAGACTCGGCCTTTGAACCTTCCCTCTTTCCCGCCCAGGAAGGCAATCCTAGGCCTGGCAAAACAGCAGCCACTTTGTAGCCACAAGAACAAAAGCTACATGGCTAAGGAAGTACCAGGAAACTCGCTCTGTTGCCCAGGCTGGAGTGCAGTAGTGCGATCTTGGCTCACTGCCACCTCCACCTCCCAGGTTAAAGCATTTCTCCTGCCTCGGCCTCCAGAGTAGCTGGGACTACAGGCATGTGCCATCACGCCTGGCTAATTTTTTGTATTTTTAGTAGAGATGGGTTTCACCATGTTATTCAGGATGGTCTCAATCTCCTGACTGTGTAATCCACCTACCTCCGCCTCCCAAAGTGCTGGGATTACAGGCATGAGCCACCGTGCCTGGCCTCCTCTGCACAAAATGAACCTATTACTTCATTTTTGCCCACTGCCAATCACCTATCAGGTCTCCATAGGCAAGCCTGGAGCATGAAAGTCTGAAGTCCTGTCTGCCTCAGCTGATCGCCTCCCATCCCGCACCTGTGTTCGCCATTGTCCCTGATTGCCCAGCAGAGCTTCTCCACACAAGTCCCTCACCCAACCCTGCCATCTTAACTGTTCTTATGATAATGTGAATACTTCTCACCCAGCCTGTCATCTTAACTGCTCTTCTGCCTCATCCCCACCCACCACTGTAACTAAACTCGTGGTCATGTATACTCCTTGCCCCTAACCCCACCACTGTAACTGATCTTACTCTGCAACGCCCCCACCCCTGAAAAAACTACCCCAACCTATAAAGCCAATTCCCACCTTACCCCCTTCGCCTTTCTTGGATTCGGCCCACTTGCACCCCAGTGAGAAATAAAACGGCCTTGTTGCCCCCACAAAGCCTCTTTGGAAGATCTCTTTATTAAATGCATTTAATATTCGGTACTACTGGATGCGAATAACGTCACCTCCCTCCACCTCTTAGAGCATCACACTCCCCTAACCTAGAAACAACCCATACCCTTATCGCCAGGGAGGTGGATTTGAGAGCTGTTTTCCCGCCTCCTCCTTTGGCTGCCTTGTGAATTCATCTTTTTTCTTTTGCAAAACCCGTGTCACAATGATGGACTTGCTGTGCACAGGGAGAATGGACCTAGACCTGGCCAGTGACACTGCAGATGGTCACGGCTGCCTCCAGACAGCTATGGCTGCCTCTTTCCTTCTGCCTTCCAAGTCACATATAAAGGCCCCTTTTGGCCAACTCTTCCTCTGGGAAGCCCCTCCTCAAGGGGCACCAGAACTGATGGGAAAGGCAGAGAGAGGAAGCTCAGGATGGGGGTGAAAAGCCAGGAATGTGGAGGCCGATTTCTGCTCAGCTTTGTTCCCTTGCTTAGAGAGACTGGAACCCAGGGCATCAGCCACAGGCCTTGGGATAAACCTTGGGCCAAGGAAAACAGCTGGATGAATCCTTGGAGACCATGAGATCCACCTTCTCACTCTGTGGACTGGGAAATCGGGCTCTGACTCCTGCTGTAGATTGTGGCAGGTCCCAGGCCACTAACTCTGTCCTCTGTGGCCAGCACCACTGCAGCCTGGGCCTCAGCTGGTGGAGCAAACTGGGCTCACCCACTGCCAAGCAACTGCAAAAACGGCACATGGCAGTCATGGGCAGAGCCCAGGCCAGGACGTCAGCCTGTCTGGCCTGTGGACAATTGCTCAGCCTGCAGCTGGGGCCTGGCTAGGGCAGACATGGGGCCAGGTGCACAGCAGCGGGGGGCGCCTGCCCATCTCCACAGCCATCCTCCTCCTGGGCACACTCAACAAAAGGCACTCCTTAAAACAAAATAAAATATATTGTCAAATATTCCAGGCCAGGTGCAGTGGCTCACGCCTATAACCCCATCACTTTGGGAGGCTGAGACGAGTGGATCACTTGAGGTCAGGACTTCAAGACCAGTCTGGTCAACATGGTGAAACCCCGGTCTCTACTAAAAACACAAAAATTACCCCAGCGTGGTTGCATGTGCCTGTAAAGCCGGCTACTCCGGAGGCTAAGGTGGGAGAATCACTTGAACTCGGGAGGCAGAGGTTGCAGTCAAGGGTGACAGAGCAAGACTCAGTCTCGAGAATAAATAAATAAATACATAAATAAATGTTTTAAACATACATAAATCTGTAGGAGCCCATATGCCAAACACCTGGGTACCACTCTCTGGGGTTATCAGAACATACTCATATGTAGTGGTACTTGCTTCAGACTTTTTCTTGTTTCATAAACTAAAGCAAACTTACATATGAAATAAAGCCCCCAGAACCTCCCCCTACAGGCTTATTCCGCTACCCATCCCCAGAGATACCCAATCCTCTGAATTTAGAGTTCATCACTCCTGTGCAATATTTTATAGTTCTGCTACTTATGTGGATGTCTTCAAACATATTTTAAAATGTCAGCTAATACGTGTATGTCCTATTATATATTATATGTGACTTGTACATATTATTCAAAACTTACTTTTTTTTTTTTTTTTTTGACAGTCTCACTCTGTCTCAGGCTGGAGTGCAATGGCACCACCTCACTCACTGCAACCTCTGACCCCCTGGTTCATGCGATTCTCCTGCCTCAGCCTCCTGAATAGCTGGGATTACAGGCATGCACTACTACGCCCGGCTAATTTTTGTATTGTTATTAGAGATGGGGTTTCACCATGTTGGCCAGGATGGTCTCCATCTCTTAACCTCGTGATCCACCAGCTTTAACCTCCCAAAGCGCGGGGATTACAGGTGTGAGCCACTGCACCCAGTCTCTCCTCATTTCTATGTCCAATTCCCTCATTCCTATTGATGCTAAACCTCTTGCTATGTTTGCAGATAAGATCATTCAAGTTTCCTCGTCTTTTTTTTTTTTCTTTCAGATGGAATCTTGCTCTGCTTCCCAGGCGCAATCTCGGCTCACTGCAACCTCCGCCTCCTGGGTTCAAACGATTCTCATGCCTCAGCCTCTCGAGTACCTGGGACTACAGGCACGTGCCACCACGGCCAGCTAATTTTTGTGTTTTTAATAGAGATGAGGTTTCACCATGTTGGCCAGGCTAGTTTCAAACTCCTGACCTCAGGTATCTGCCCACCTTGGCCTACCAAAGTGCGGGGATCACAGGTGTGAACCACCGTGCCCGGCCAAGTTAACTTTTCTATGAATTACATGTTCATATTGTTTGCCCACTTTTCTTTCAGTAGGTTGACTTTTTAAAATATTAGTTTATAAGAATTCCTGCCGGGCGCGGTGGCTCAAGCCTGTAATCCCAGCACTTTGGGAGGCTGAGGCGGGTGGATCACGAGGTCAAGAGATCGAGACCATCCTGGTCAACATGGTGAAACCCCGTCT